TTCCATGGCCTTTGGGTTAATAACTCCTGCTTAGTCTTGCATAGATGAACTAATCATTTCAGGAATTCTGTATGGGGCTGAGTATTACAAAAACATTTCCTCCCATTTCTGAAGATGGATTTGAGTAACTACTAAGGCTCCCCACCTTTCTGGCTGATGCCTCTCAGTCAATAAACTTTTCCTATGCCAAACTCTGATCTGTTGGGCTTTGGCCTTTCAAAGCTGTGGGTACTTTGTACTGGTAACACTAGCACTGTCCTATAAAGAATGCCGTAACCAGTATTTCAAGAAACTTCGAAGTAACATTCTTACAGAGATGAGACGATCATAGGTTGATCACATCATTAAGAGAATTCATTACTTGAATTCCATTGTTATTAAAACAAGATTTGGGTTGTAACTTAGCTTTCCATGTAGTGCTTCATATGTAGAAGGCACTGTGCTGGCCAGTCATGCTAATTAGGTTTAAGACAATTTGACACTTCACGTATCTCATTGAAAAGTAGAAAATTAACCTTGTTTTATTAGTTCACCACGAATAATTACATGCCCTATTTAATGGTTATTTATCATTTTGAGCTCTCCCTGCCCAAAAAGCACTCTCCATCTTCTGTGGAAATGTCTACCAATGATAAAACTTCACTACCCTATCCAAGGAAGTCGGTATATGACCAAGCCTGGGCCCTTCATTGTATTTACCACTTCCTGGCTATAGTGACTGATCCAAAGGATAGGCACATGACCTAAGTTGAATCAGTCCTCTAGATTTTAAACACTAAAGCTTGGAGAGAAGTGCTTTTATTTCTCAATGTGTAGCCTCCATCACGGTATGAGCCTAGAGCAGATGTTAGCCAAATTCCCTGTGAAAAAGCCCAAGGAAAAGCACAGGCCTGGAGAGAAAGTAGAGACAAGTGTGATGAGAGGAGGCAGCAGTCCTGATGCATTATAATAATGTCCAGTCAAGACTCTGACATTAGCTGTACCTCTAGCTTTCTAGATTTAGTTACTTCTTTTTTCTTAAGCCAGTCTCAGTTTTGCAACAAATAGAAACACCTAATGCTATAAAATAAAGAAATGGCTTTCTGTAGATAATATTTGTGTCATTATCTACTAGGCTTTAAACATTACTTCTGCCCCACACAGAAAAGAAGCTATATTCCCAGTAAAATTTTCTAATTTTTGTACATTATATACCCAATAGAAGATTAAATGTAGCCCTGGCTGGTGTGGCTCAGTGGATTGAGTCCCAGACAGTGAAGCAGAGGGTTGCAGGTTCCATTACTTCAGGACACATGACTGGGTTGGGGGGCCAGGTCCCTGGTGGGGATGCATGAGAGGGATCCACACATTAATGTTTCTCTTCTCTCTTTCTCCCTCCCTTCCCCTCTGTTTAAAAATAAATAAGTAAAATCTTTTTTAAAAAGATTAAATGTAAAGTCTTTAGACAGAGACTAAAAATATTTTATTTCTTTTTAAAAATATTTTATTTATTTATTTTTAGAGAAAGGGGACAGGAGGGACAATCCATTGCCCCTCACACACGCTCCAACTGGGGCCAGCTGGCAACCCAAGCATGTGCCCTGACCAGGAATCAAACCAGGGACCTGATCTTTTGCTTTGGGGGACAACCAACTGAGCCACACTAATAAGGGCAAGTCTTTAAACCAGAAATTTAAAGATGAAAGGAGGGAAGAACTGAGGTGTATTAAAAAGAATAATGAGCCCTGGCTATTGTAGCTCAGTGGATTGAGCGCAGGCCTGTGAACCAGAGAATCAAAGTTAGATTCCCAGTCAGGGCACATACCTGGATTGCAGGCTGGTTCCCTGCAGGGGATGCACGAAAGGCAACCATACATTGATGTTTCTTTCCCTCTCTCCTTCCCTTTCCCTCTAAAGATAAAAAAAAAAAAAAAATCTAAAAAGAACAATGAATTAATAAGATTCATGAGATCAAGGTTCTCACTGTCTTTGTGCTACGATGCTACCATAGCAAATCATTTATTCTCAGTAAGCTACAATATTTTCAACTGTCTACTTTATTCCTAAGATTGCTTCCAGTGCTAAAATGACTGAATAATTTTGAGGATATAGAAGCATACTTCTCATTCACATTAATCCATATTAAATGAAGTAAAGAGTTAAATTCATTTTTAAACACAAATTCAACTTTTTCCCACCTATTCAAGTGTACTCTAAAAACATATGCAATTCTCAAGGATCACTATCAGAAGCAAAAGATCCCGCAGAATAAAAAAAGTGAACCCCAAATGAAGATACTCAACAGAATGAATATTTGGTGTAAATGAATGGTCTCTTAAAATTAGAGCTTTCTTCTTCCAATTAGTTTTAAGATCTTTAGGACTAGAAATTGTAGTTTTTTTCTTGATTATGCTAAAGCATGCCTTGTCCTGTTACTAGTTTACATTTCAGAATATTCTAGCTACAGGGGGAAAAGAAACAACTCAATACAAACGTTAGACAGAGAAGAAGTAAAGTGGGTTATAAAGAAAACCCCAAATTAGAAATCAGAAGACCAAGCTATGAAGAATTTTATTCTCGGACTTCCGCCAAGATGGAGGCATAGGTGGATGTACCTTGCCTTCTCACACAACCAAGTTTAGAGACAACTAAATATTAGCAACAGAAAACACAACCAGGACACGGAAAATTGAACTTTTCGGAAGTCCGTTAACAACAAATTCTTCAGCCTGACCGGTAAGGGGCGAAACCAGCGGCTGGTGAGGCCGGGTTGCACAGGAGGACTGGGTCAGAACAGACTCAGGCGTGCGGAATCCAGGCGCAGGGTTGGACCTAGTGAGCAACCAAGCAAGTGACCAGGCGAGCGACCGCGGGGGAGACAGCGGGGAAGCGGGGCTGCGTGTTGACTGTGGTCCCGCATTTGTGCGCGGGTGGACAGGCGAGGGAGTGGGCGGTTGGACTGGGGCCCGGGGGTCCCCGTGGCAAGGGGCAGGGAGGGCTCCGCCATTTCCCTGCTCTGACCCCACCTCCACATACAGCGTCATAACCCAGCGACTCTGAGTGGCCCGGCCCAGGTGAACCACCTAAGGCGCGGCTCCTCACCCAGCTGTGAGAAACAGCAGAGGGGGTCGTCATTTCCCCGCTCTGACCACACCCCCACATACAGCGTCACAACCCAGCGACCTGGGAGTCCAAGGCGCTGCTTCTCACACTTAAAGGGCGTGAACAGACCAAAAACGGCGCAAGAAGATCTCAAAGCCCCAGAACCTATAGATCTAAGCGATGAAGAAATAGCAAAACTCTCAGACGCACAGTTTAAAACACTGGTGACCAGGATCCTCACAGAACTGGTTGATTATAGCCACAAATTAGACAAATATATGAAGGCGAAACTAATTGAAATGAATGGAATTGCACAGGACACCAATAGCAATGAAAAGGAAACTGGGACTCAAATCAATGGAGTGGACCAGAAGAAAGCAAATAATGGCCAAACAGAAAAGAGTCAAGAAGCAAGAATTCAAAGAAATGAGGAGAGTCTCAGGAACCTCCAGGACATCTTTAAACGCTCCAAAATCCGAATTATAGGGGTACCAGAAGGGGGAAAGGCACAGCCACCAGTGGAAAACTTATTTGAACAAATAATAAAGGAGAATTTCCCCAATCTGGCAAAGGAAATAGACTTCCAGGAAATCCAGGAAGCTCAGAGAGTCCCAAAGAAGTTGGACCCAAGAAGGAACACACCAAGGCACATCATCATTACATTAGCCAAAATTAAAATGAAAGAGAGAATCCTAGAAGCAGCAAGAGCTAAGGGGACAGTCACCTACAAAGGAGTCCCCATCAGACTGTCAGTGGATTTCTCAAAAGAGACCTTACAGGCAAGAAGGGGCTGGAAAGAGCTATTCCAAGTCATGAAATCCCAAGAACTACATCCAAGATTGCTCTATCCAGCAAAACTTTCATTTAGAATGGAGGGACAGATAAAGTGCTTCTCAGATAAGATCAAATTCAAGGAGTTCATCATCACCAAGCCCTTATTATATGAAATGTTAAAGGGACTTACCTAAGAAAAAGAAGTTAAAGTACATGAACAGTGAAAGGACAACAAACTCACAGTTATTAACAACCACACCTAAAACAAAAGCAAACTAAAAGGACAGCTAGATCAGGAGTGGAAACATAGAAATGAAGATCTCAAGGAGGGTTAGCAACAGGGGAGTGGGAGGAGGAGAAGGTACAGAAAATAAGTAGCATAGACAGTAGATAGAAAATAGATGGGGGGGGGCAAGAATAGCATGGGAAATATAGAAGCTAAAGGACTTGAGACACATGGTCATAAACTAAAGGGGGGGTAATGGTGGGGATGGGGGGGTAGGGTGGAGGGGAATGAAAGGGGGAATAGAACAACTGTAACAGCATAATCAATTAAAAATTTAAAAAAAAAGAATTTTATTCTCATTATTAACTCTCCTCCGAAGGGCAAGATTTCTGATTTAACTTTTCAGACTCTAATGAACCAACTTGGTAGCTTTGCTTCAAAAAAGAAAAAAGGAAAGAGAAGAAAAGAAAAGAACAACTTTGGAAAACTTTTAGAAGGCCCATTTTGAAAGTCAGGCCCCAGGTCTATTCCACATGTGGGTGGGGAGCCGGGGCATGTGTCCTACAAGTGAACTCTGTGACACCAAAGATATCCCTCAAAATGAGATTAAAAGAAACATTACTCTCGCGTTGCTTTGGCAATAAAAGGGGAACCTTACTCCAAGTCAGTCCTCGACGCTGACTTAAGCGGAGAAAGGGACTACTTTAGCTCATCGCATTAAACTACACCAGACCCAGACCCAAGCGCACCGGTAGCGTCTCAGAAAGGACATTAAGAACTGAATCAGAGAAAGAGCCGATCTCCCCTGGCCGGAGGCTCCACCCCGAGGTCCCGGGATACCCTCAGGACTCCTGTATTGCTGGACAGTTCGACGGTTGGGGCCTGCGGTTGCCCCTCGGCCTGTGCCTGGCCGACTCACCTCGGCGTCTTCTTTGCACTGTGGGAGAGAGGGGAACTCCAGCTTCAAGTCCTCCATGATCCCGGTCGGCTGACTGGTGGGTGAGATGGGAGTAGGAGTTATTCGCCAGCCCGACCCTCGGGCTGGCAGTAAGAGGGACCGCCGGTAAACTGGAGGGCTGACGGGCAGGCAGCGGCCTTACAGCTAACACACGCAGACCAAAGGGTCCCGGCGACTCCGGCGGCGACGGCGACCACAGAGGGGAAGAGGAGGATTGGGCGGCTCATACCGGGCCGCCATTATTCTGCGGTATCCCAAACCCCGAGTCTCCGCGCCCCTCAGGCCACCCAGGTTCGGGCACAGGCTCGAGCCCTACAACCGTCTTTCCTTCTTGCCCCCCGCCCTCCCTGCGTTGCTCTAGCCAATCGCAGCCCACGCGCGCCTTCGGCCCGCCCCGCCGCTACTGCCAGGTGTCAGCGCGCCGGCGCCCCGCCCCTTCGCGAGAGCGCAGACGCGCGGGGCGGGGCCTCTGGGGCTCCTTGGCTGGAGCCCGCGCTCGACGTAGGGGAGGCGGGGCTGTGGGAAGAGGGAGAAACTGTTTGAAGGTCCTAGGGAAGGCAGTGGGGCAATGGAGCTCCACCCTTTCCAGGCAAAGGAGGGTCTGTTTGGTACTAAGAATGGTCAAAACACCCTAGCCACCAGTAGCTGGCATCCGCAAGGAAAACTATAGTTTCTCCCTTCTCAGAATGCTGCACAATCTGAAGTGAGGTTATAACCGAAAGAGTAATGAGTGAAGCGTTCATCTTAAAATTGTTAGGCTACACAGTAAATGAAACATCCATCACTTCTTTGCAGATTTAAATGGTGGACTTGAGTATATGACAAGTAGAAAATCTCAAGAAATGGCAAATAGAAAAAAGTCCTAAGAAACATGGAATTGATAGCTCACTCAGTAAATTGTACATAATACTTAAGAATTCTCCCTTTAACTTGAAGTTTATTAATATTTCAACATTGTGATAAACGACGTGACTTTCAGTATCTTTTAAAAAGGGCTCAAGAGTTAATACTATATTGTTAATAAAGACTAGGTATATGATGTTTTCTCTGGGCCTAGGAAGATACTATTAACCTTGTTGTTTAAATGGGTGAGGAAAATCAAACTTGGAACCCACACATAAACACTAAAAGTTTATACACCAAACTGATTCTTAAAAAAAACAACCACCAAAGTAAAAAACAAAGCAAGAGTCATTTATTAATTAAATTACACAGTGGATAAAGTAAAAAGAATTACATGGATATTTGACCTAAACTCCCGCCTACAAATATCCTATTATTTTTTATATTGTCATATTTATGAAATGCACTGTCAACATATTATAGAAATGGAACTGTTCAGTAATTTAAGTAATAGGTGGCTAGTTTGAGTGGTCCATTTTCTCTACCACTATGTAATCTGTTCTGTATCTTTTAAGGTTATGAAAAGGCATACAATACTCTGCTAGTTAAGATTTTGAGGAATGACTGTAATTACGCAAGTCATTTAATAGTTTGTTTTTTTTTAATGTTTATGAACCTGAAGTCGTTTTTTTTTTAACAACACCTTTAATAAGATAATTTTACTTGATGACCAATGATGATTTCCTATTGTAATTTGTTAAAACTTTAATTGCCACATGATATGAGCAAGAACTATGTACAGGTAACAGAACTTGTGTTGTATTTCTGACATCAACATCTCCTACCTACATCAGACACTCTTAGTCTGTATCCAATTGATACCTATAGAGTTTATGGGTGAGCTTGGAAAATAATAAATCTCCTTAACTTTTAGTATTCACAAAATTGTATATAGTTATGTGTGAATTTTTCTGGGAAGAGGTCCAGACCTTAACATTCTAAAAAGGGAACTATCATCTCATATAACTTAAGAAAACCAAGTCATATTTATTAGAAAATATTACTTTCAATCATAATCTTAAAAGTTAGGTGTGCATGTATTATTTCAATTAACTATTACACAGCCTAATCATAGTAGGTGGAAACTGAATAAAGACTTTCTGGAAGGAGGAATATATATATAGACAAACACATAAAAACACGTAACAAGAAATTTTATGAAAACAGGATGGGTACTGTTTTAAATTAAAATTCAAAAGCCAACAATCTAAATATAACTTTACCTTGGTTATTAATAGTTTACCTACTAAAAACCCTTAAGGACTATATAGTAAATGTAGTTTTACAAAAGACAGTATGTGTAGAACTCCGTCAAACAGATTTTATTCAACTTTTTAGGATGAGGAAAACAAATGACATAAGTCATAAGAAATGCTCTTTGTACTACTATCTCAAATCATTTTCAGTGTTTTACAAAATGCCCACACAGCAAATACGAAAAGACACAACATACTCCTCTTTTATAACTTCTGCTGCAATAAATGCAGCATTAACAAATATACATATTTCTTCTGCACCAATTTTCAATGTAAAATTACTGAATTACTAATTTTTGTTATTCATCTTTTTATTCATACACTTTGAATGAGATCATTGCCAGTACATACATTATTTTCCTTAACTTCATTTTTACATTAAGCCAATGTCTGTTATGCACATCCATCAAAATCCTTACAGTATATTACACGGGTTTGTAGTCTAATTTTGACTCTAGCTTCTTAGAATCAGCCACTTTTCTGACTGCTTTCATGAAGTCTTCCTGTACTACAAAATCATGATCAGCACGAATTGCAAACATACCTGTGGGGAACAAAACAACATAACTGCTTTATATAATATATGGATTATGTATTATAAGAAAACTAAATTATGTAATTCTATGGAATAAATGTGAAGAAGCCTACATTTACTACTACTGAATCAGTACTGATTTGTTAAAAATTCCTTTTATTGTTCAGTAAATTTGCATAGCAATCATAAGCATTATATTCTAAGCCAAAAGCTAGAAAACAATGAATGAGACAATTATCTGATTATTTAAAATCCAAATCACACAATCCCTGTATCCAATGGCATCTTGAAAAAACAAAATCCAACTATAAACAAAATACACACACTTTAAGCATCTGTATCTTTTTTAAAAAATAAAGATTTTACTTATTTTTAGAGAGAAGGGAAGGGAGGGAGAAAAAGGGAGAGGAACTTTGATTGCAGGCCTTAACTGTGGACCTGACCTGCAACCCATGCATGCGCCCTGACCCAGAATCCAAACAGCACCTTGAAGGCCACTAGTGCTCAATCCACTGAGCCACACCAGCCAGGGCTAAGCAGTGGTTTCTTAACTCTACAAACAGCAGTTCCTTGAAAGAAAAGAGTGCATATATGGTTTGGGAAAACACAAAATACCTTCAGTAATTCTGACAGCCCTTACTTGTTAATAATCAAAAGCACAGAGAATAGGATATTTTAAAAAGCCAAAAGTGGGCTTTAACAAAACTCAGTGCCATTACTCACATATTACAATTGCCCTATTTATATGCAAATTGACATTTTAATGACTTTCCTATTCAAGTATAACAATTCCATTTTTTTCCTTTAAGTTTTTTATGTGACTTTTCAAATATTAATTGACAAAGGGATAAAAGTTTTTGTATGTGTTTTTCCTTTTTAACTTTATGTAGTTGTATCATGGATATAGATCCCAGGTCTTCAAAAACTCATAATTTCATGATAAGCTACAGCTGATAAGCTATCACTTTATATTAATTAAATCCATCCTAATATTTTTATTGAGAATCTGCTTATATTGAATTTTCACTCATATAAAATGAATGGGTTTGAATAGAAGATTTCAAGGGTTACCTCCTATCTTTCCTTTAAAGATTTCTAATTACAAGAAGCCTTGAAAACAGCTACTCTATGTTGTCCTGAGAAATGAGAGGAATATAAAATTTTTAATGTTTTTTTAATACTGTAGTTTTAAATTTTATTTAGAAGGCTACAACTAAATTAGGAAAGTTATTTTTCCAAACCTGTGTTTCCAGATTTAGTGAATGAATGAACCTGAAATACATACTAATCCATAAAGCATGAAAATCTCTACATCTGAAAGGAAAATACAACCGTAACTGAATATAGTGTTTTAACAACTCACGGAATTAACAAAAAAAAGTTTGAAGTCTGATTAAAAAAGAAAAAAAAAAAAAAAGAATTTCAGTATGTCTCCAGATGTGATTGTCCCAACTAAAAAGCTATAATGCTAATCCACACTGAAGTTATAGTTCTTTTTTAGAAATACCTAAAAATAATTTTTTATGTATGTGGACAAAAAAGGAGATCATCATAATATCATGTTATCAGCCTTTGAGATTATGACACTGCTTTTGTTTGGATTCCATTTTCACTAAAGCAATCTTTTTAATAATTAATTTGGTTGGTGTAGATTTTGGAAATAAAATGTCATAAATTATTTTAGGTAGTTCAAGTCACACGACAATTTACCTCTTAATATATTATTTTTGTTCATTAATAAGTCTTTGTGAGCATGATTTACTCTGACTTGTACTGAGGGTTTCTAGACCTGCAGATCTTTGATTCAGATACTGAGTCGCAATATACTCACAAAGATACTCCTATGGAAAAGCCATGCCTGAGGAGCCATCCTCTTTAAATACTATGTTGAATTTACCAGAAATGCTAAAATTAGGCCTAAGGTGATATGAAAAAGAAGAAACCACATATTGTAACCCTTATCACAGACATTTTTTCCATTTTAAGATTCTGTGTGGATAGAGGACAAAGACTGACTCTATGTAGGGTTTTAAAGCCACTCGGTACCAGAAATGAAAATAAGACACACAACCCATAGAGAAAATTATATTTAGAAACTATTATATTTTACAAGTTGAATGAACACAAAATTCATAAATCAATTTTCAAAGCTTAGTACTGATAGGCTAGCATCAGAAAGCACATCCATCATCCGCTTTGGAGCAGATTCCTCTGGTGCTGTCCCAGTCTCAGGTTCAGCCACGGTGTGGATAAACAATTCTGTACAGCCTCACACTCACTTCAGGGAACCAGTATCCTATCACATGTGTGTCTTTCCACATTCTACTCTAAGACATCCAGAAGTGCAAAAGAATTAACATTCCAAAGAGCAAATCTCATCCAATGGGGGATAAGAGCTAGAAAATAAATGCCAGTCTTCCATCCTGTAACAGGGTAATCACAAATGGCATTCTGTATGTTTCTCTGAGGGTCTCATCAAAATCAACACCCTTCCCACCCCCTGGTATATACCCTTTTCCCACCTCACTTGTCCTGTTCTTTCCTGCTTCTTCAAATCTGTCCCCCAAAACAAGTACTCAACTCCTTACAAAGCTCAGGCTCTGCTTTTAGACAAACTCAGCACATTTTTGGCAATTTAAATAAAAATCAACAACA